TTGCACATTGAACTCGATCTTGTCATCCCCGATTTCAAGGATGAGTGTACCCTTCTTCACATTTATGATTGCTCCAGCAGTGGCTAGAAATGGTCTTCCGAGAATGATAGGAACTCGGGCATCTTCTTCCATATCCAAGACAACAAAGTCTCCTGGAATATAGTATTTATCGATCTTCACAGGAACATCTTCAAGAATGTCGATTGGGTACTTTACAGAGCGATCAGCCAATTGTAGTGCCATGGTTGTTGGTTTTGGATCACCCAAGTGTAGCTTTTGACATAGAGAGTATGGAATCAAGCTAACACTTGCACCAAGATCACAAAGAGCTTTGTTTACTTTAGATCCTCCGATGTAGCATGGAATTGAAAAGCTTCCAGGATCACGCAGTTTTGGTGTGATCTTATTTTGGATAATGGCACTGCACTCTTGACTCATGGCCACAGTGAGAGGATTTTCCTTCTTCTTTGTTAAGATCTCCTTAAGAAATTTGGCATATGAAGGAATTTCAGTGATAGCATCAAGCAAAGGAATAGAGATATCCAATTGCTTGATACGGTTCAAGAACTTGGTTCTTCGTTCCTCAATATGTGATTTCTTGAGTCGGTTTGGAAAAGGAATTGGTGGAGCATATTTCCTTATCAAACCCTCATCTTCTTTCTTCTTTCCTTCTTTGATCTGAATTGACTCCAGCAGCATTTCAGCAGCATCTTCTTTGACTTTGTTCTGAGCTTCTTCCTTGGCATCCTCCCTTATTTCTTCATCGGGCTCACTACTCGGAAGAGATGGAGATTGAAGTTGTTTCCCACTCCGAGTAGTGATAGCATTCATTTTTTCTCTTGGATTCTCAGGACAAGCTGGACTTTTTCCAGTCACCTTTGTTGAGGATGTTGATGCTTGACTAGAGATTTGATTTTCAAGCATCCTATTGTGAGCTCGAAGTTGAGTAAGCTCTTCAGAAATCTTCTTTAAGGTTTCGGCTTGGGCTAGTTGAGATTTGAGTAGCTGATCAACAATGTTATCCAAGCCGGGAGCCGATGGTGTTTCAGGAGTTGACAGGATCGGCTTTTGTTGATTTGGAACATAGGGGAAGCTTTGGTTTTGCTTAAACTGTTGATTGTTAGAAAAACCTTGGCCACCTCTAAATTGTTGTTGCTGTTGATTTTGAAAGCCGGGTGATGAACTCCGATAAGCTTGTGGATTGGCAGCTCCACTGGGATTTCTCCAAGAGAAACCAGGATGATTTCTATTTTGAGAATTAAATCCGCCAAATTGATTTTGTTGTTGCTGCGGCCGGTTGTAGTTGTCATAATCAACTTGCTCCATTGCATCCCATGGACATGTGGATTGATCATGTTGTCCACCACAGGATACACACATGAGAACAGGAACAGGAGGCGGTGCTGGCGTAGTGTTTTGCACAGCAGAGACTTGAGCAATCTTTTGGATCATGCTCATCATGCTATCGACCTTAGCAGCCATGGCCGACATTTGATCAACTTCGTACATGCCTCCAATTTTTGGTTGAGCGGATGGACGGTCAGAGTACCAAGTGGATCCGTTTGTTGAGATCCGCTCAATGAGTTCTTCAGCTTCGTCAAGTTCAAGGCTCATGAATGATCCGCCCGCCGAGGCATCCAACAATATCCGTGAGTTTTCATTTAGGCCTTCATAGAAAGCCGTCATTAATTGCCAGGACTGGATATTGTGATGTGGGTATTGCCTTTTAAGATCTTTGAATCTCTCCCAAGCCTCGTAAAGGGGCTCATTTGGATTTTGCTTGAAATTTTGTATCATCCGCCTGATTTTTGCTGTTTTGGAAGGCGCGAAGAATCTTTTGAGAAATTCTCCGTGAAGCTGGTCCCAAGTTGTGAAGTGATTGTCTGGAAATGAATCCAGCCAGCTTTGAGCTCTGTCCCTTAGAGAG